TTGATTCCTGTTTTGCGGAACGCTCCGAAGAACACATGGAACACAGTTTGAGAATCGCTGCTCTGACCACATGAGAATTACTCACTCATTTCGCAATTTCTTTAAATTGTTTTAAGTGTCATCTGCTATCACTCGCCCACCTGTGCATTATCAGATAAAATTCCATCCCTTAGAGCGATATTGTACTCATTATCAGAGAAAATTGTCTGTTATCAGTTTTAATGACGAAATTTGTTTACAAGGCTCTAGACAAGCAACGACTTACAGGTAGAGAGTATAAATGCTTTACTTGAAAAGGAAAAAAATTCGGCATTTTGCTTACTAGGTATGTATGTGACTTTATCAGCGGCGTACCAACGTGAAATGGCGCCCATGGCAAAGTTTAAATATGCGCCTCTTGATCGTTAGTTGACAATTTTCATAAGTGATTATTGTTGAACTGACATCCTTATATGTTATAGGACGAGTTTCATTTATTTTCAATTTTATATCATTCAATTGAAACTTCTCGCTTTTTCTGCGCCTCTCTCCCAACGGCACTCATGGCTCGTGGCCATGGTCGCCAAACCCTTGATACGCCTCCTCGCCCTCCATCCCTTAGAGCGATATTGTACTTATTATCAGAGAAAATTGTCTGTTATCTGTTTTAATGACGTAATTTGCATATTAACAAGGCTCTAGCCTAGAGTATACAAGCAATGACTAATATGTAGGAGGTAGCAATGCTTTACTTAAAAGGGAAAATATTTTTCGATTGGGCATTTTGCTTACTGGGTAAGACGATTATGTGTGGCATAATATCTCGTTGAAGGGCGAAGGTGTTTTTCAGTTGAATAGTATTCAGTTATATCAAAAAAGTTTGCCATTTTCCGCGTCCTGTTTCTGAGAAAGGGTTACAAATAATTGCCCCCGGTACGGCGTTGAATATATTATCGCAAACCAACCGAGGTCGACTCGGGTCTATCGCTATTGAAGGGAAAACCTGTTCAATCCAAATACCTGTTAGGTTTCAAAATCTGTCATTTTCGCTGTGATTTTTCAGTAAAAGTTTAAATTTGGCGAGTCTTAGAAGTTCGCTGTGAATTTTGCGCCTTTAGAATATCTGAACTCGATATTATTTCGGAGTAGATAATACGGATTAGAGAATAAAATTTTGCATATTTATACAGGGAGGAGAGGAAAGCCGGTGATAGTTGTTAATCATGATAGTTGTTGCCTAACATGCGGTCGCCAGTTTAATTGTTTGAAGTCAAACTGACATAAAAAAAAACGCATTCCAGAATATCGAAAACTCCGGATTAAAAAATCACTTTTGAATTCAAATATTAATTACTGCTTTTTAGATAAATAACAGAGTTTTTGTGCAAGGCATGCTAGGGTATATTTATGCACAAACAGAAGTTCAATTGTTGAATAAATTTTGTCCATCATCATAGTAGTATTTGGGAACTTTATGGGTTCGTTTTTATCTGTGAGCCAAACTGTACGGGAACAATCTCGCCTCAACATAAAATATAACTAATAAAACACAATGAGACATCTCAAATCGGCCTCTTTGAACTTGTGAGCACTGTGGTAGAAAATAAGGGAAAAACACGATGAAATTATTTTTAATCGATGGCATGCAATCATTAACGTAATTACGACACAGATATGGTGCAATAAATTTACTTGCGTAAATGTGCAATCGAGCTTCTACCCTGCGGCGATCTGCCGTGGCCTTAGTGGGCGAGATAAGGCGATGCAGGCTGTATATATAAGAGTGTCAGAAGAAGTTGAACTGTTTTTATCAAGTGTCTGTCTGTACAGGGCCTTCTTTAGAGCAAGTCTAAGAAAATGCGCCGAAAAAATAATCATCAACTAAACACGAGGCCTGAGTGTTCCTGACAGAATTATTAATTTCAATATGTGTAATCGAGTGTGAAAACTAGTGGGCCGTGAAGCGATGAATGTTTACAAAATATGAATAGAAAACAGAGGCGGTCAGTTTAAGTCAGGGGGGCAGACATTTTGGGGTACGGACACTCCTTAGACGAGATTGGGTACCGGGATGGACGTTTTTTAAAGATAATTCACGAGTAAAACTGAGCATTTCGAATCGACTATTTTATTCGAATTTTGAATTATTCGATTCGGTTCAAACAAAAATTTCGAATCGCCACCATCTCGTTTCGAAGAGAATACGCAACTTTTTTATTGGAGCCATATTTTCAAAATGCAATTCTGACATATGTCTCACTATTTTGATGAATGTTTCCTATTGAGTGTGACAACTCGGCGAACTGTCTGTGGTATAGATTCTATGTTTTCAGTAATTTATGTGTCTGTAGGACGCATTGCGATAAAAAAAGACGCATAAAATTATCCCCTTCAAATGTTAAGTATTCTAGGTTCTAATCGAAAAAATATTCGATTCGTATTCGAAATCATCAGGTATTTGAATATCCCAGCCCTATTCACGAGTACTGCCAACACCGCCGACGTCGATGATCGGTTATGACTTTTCCTTCCTCCCGGGCCAAGGCACTACCAAACAAATGGAATTAACGCAAAAATACCAGTTGAATTTTCCTACCTTTTTAGAAGCATGTTTTGCTATTCCCATTCCCACCTTCGACATCACTTTTAGCGCCCTTTATTGGCATCGATTGTGACGAGAACATGAGTCATAATGGGCGCTTTTCTATAAGGTATCAAATTTCTAGTAAGAGTGTGTAGTACGTTACAGGCTAAGAGGTCTGCGACCGGTTTAGAACAATATTTTGCCGGCTAGGTTATTTCCAGTGACGTCACCGACTTCCTTGTTTCTGTGAAAACGGCGAATCGGCAATTCTTTACTGTATGTACGTAACAGTTATAATCTAGCAATTCGCCTTGACATGTTTTTTTTTTTCAGTCAGACTGATTGTCGATGGAGGGCTCGTTTTTTAGTTTTAGTTTTTCAGTCATTTTTTAGATAAGTTGTTGAAAGCAAGCAATCTCGAGTAATACTTTGACTAAAGAACAATATGATAGTGATTACGCGCACTCACTAAGAGCGGAGGGGACTCATCTCAGAGAAAAAAACACGGTCGACCACTGAAACTATATATAGTATGGTGGGTGACCGTACATTTGAACCCATGTGTATATCCGCGGGTTCAATCTATATGCGGGTGCTAAAACACATGGGTTAGGGTTAATATGGGTTCTAATATCCGTAAAACAAAAAAATCCCATAGGTGCAACAGTATGCAGGTGCAATTATCGTGGGTTCAAATGTAATGGAACCAGTATGGTGATACAATATGCGCACTCAATCAGAAGTAAACGAGATTCATCTCTGAGCAAAGGCACGGGCAACCAACAAAATACCGAGAGTTACTTGTACATATTGATTCATGGCGGGGAATTACGTGCTAGGAAGTACCGATTAGTGCGGGACTCGGAGAAGTTTTAAGCAAAGAGTTTTCACCGCTTATTTTACTATAATTTGACATCATAAAAGATTCATCTGCCTATTTAAAATCCAATTTTATTTTGTGATTTTCTCCTTAGAATAAGATAGAAGGGTTTAAAAACTTATTTCGCTGTTATAGCGGCGAATTGTCGATCTGTTATTGGTAACTGTAATCATAAATACAGGAAACAGATACATACTCACCCCTCCCCTACGGCTGCGCCACTTAATATTATAATTCAATGGATTTAACGAATTGTTAATTCCCGTAAATTGCATAAAACCTTGGCTATCGTTTTTCAACATTTATGGCATTTTTGTATTAGTATTATTCGGCCGTTCTAGTCCAATTTATTATTATTTTGTTCCGTCATTCTCAAAAAAAAAACGATAAAACATCGGGGTATAGATTATAAAAATTCGAATGTATTGTGTACACAAGGTCAAATTGGTTGGGAACTTCCTGAAAACAACTTCATAAAAAATTATTTGATAATTTATTCTGTGCCAAACTACTCCAATTGGAATATGTATGTCTGAGGAAGTCTGATTTTGGTCAGACGAAACGTTACAAAAATATATTTGTGTTAGTATGTCTCTCTAGAATGTCTTGGAGATTTGCAATATTGGTTGATTTATATTATATGTGATTCCAGAGTCTGTCTGCACGCTCACACAAATGTATTTCTATATTTCTTCAAGACTTGAACGCCTTTTACGTCATATCATACGTATATGAGTCGACTAATCATTTCGCTAAAAAATGTTATTTACGACGCTATCGTTTAGGAATTCCTAAGTTCATTTTACAGTCATGAATGCAAATATTTGAGAAGCGCGATTTGCTCAGATAGTATCGCATACTATCGTAGGAATATGAATATTTTATTTGAGTGTCCGTATCCAGGTAGTTTGGTGTTCTGCGCCAAATTTCGTGAGTCTTGGATAAAACTATTCCGATGGAGTATGCTGAGGGCCTCAGGGCTTAGGTACACTTAGGGCCATCAGTTCGGCTTGTGAGCTGTATTTTGCGCAATGGGTGATTTGACTTTTTGTGTAGAATGAATATGTCTTACCGGCGAACTTATTTTTTATATAAATTTTACTGTTTTTCTTTATTCTTGCTACAACAAGTAGTTAGTCCCGCAGAAACCCAACTGATAAATCTTTGAAGGACACAAAAGCTAACTACTTTGGCTGAGCGTGTATCTGTCTAACAATTTCTCTCTGATTTTGTATTAGTTGATCCGTATGAGCTCAAAACCGTGTCGAAGGTCACATTTTCGAAAATTATTTGGTTGAACTCAACGCAAAAATTCTGCAGTAAAAATCAAAGGATCTTTATTTAAGACAGTTAACTAATCATTTTGCTAAAAAATGTTATTTACGACACAGTCGCTTAATAATTCTGTGTTGTGTAAATACTAAGTTCATTCTACAGTCATGAAAGCAAATATTTGAAAAGCTCGATTTGCTTAGAAAGTATTGCATACTATTGTAGGAATATGAATATTTTATTCAAGTGTCGGTATTCTGATAAATTAAAATTCTACTCCTAATTACAAGCGTCTTAAATGGAACCATTCTGTTTGAGTTTGGAATTTGCATATTCAGTGCAATCTGCATTCTTAACCATGACCCTAAGCGGATTATTACTAATTATCTTATCTTAAAAGTTGGCGGGGAGTTTTTTGTGTGTGGTTTTGTACAAGAGATCAAATCAAATAGGCTACATTGAATGGTTATTGGAGTAACGCGTACTTAACTGCTACTTAGCGTTTAGAGTTGGTGGATCTGAATAGCATAGGACATTCCAAGGGGGTCAAAGACGGGGTCATGGAATTTCTACTGCCAAGTTAGATCGTAACAGATATCGGGCCCGACCAAAAAACGTGGATTTTAAGAGTTTATGAGGTCATAAAAGGCGTTTCAAGTTACACCAAATTGCTATGTATGATACAGAACAATGCTTTTTACAATTTATCAACAACAACCCGCAACACCACTGTATACGATACTGTAGTAAAAATCAAAACGATCAAAGCCTCGCTTCAAACTTCCACAAATATTAGTTCTATTATTTACGTTCAAAATTTTATCTCAACCATATGAATAAGTGTTATGTTAATGTAGCTTACGAAGTGACATACTTTCATTATCTGAAATATGGGAACCCGTTGTTAATGGGTTCGACACAAAAGAGAACCCGTTCTTGAAACTTTGAATATCATTACATATCATTTTGAGTATTGGATCCACGATTTTTTTATCCATTTTTATTTGAATATTTTTTCAAATATAGTAATAGGTATTATTATTTAAACGTCCACCATGGTGGTGTCTATGGGCGGAATCGGTTCGATATTCACTTCCGTACAGAACACAGTGAAGACAAGCTCTGGATCTGCGATAAATATTGTGATCTGTCTCGTCACTGTCGGGTCGGAGCAGTTATTCAGTTTCGCTGCGTTCAATTGTCCTTGCCCAGACCATGGAGTGAATGAAACTTCCATTCGTGAGTGTTTTTAATTTTTTTTTTAATTTCGCTCAAAGTGAGGCACTCATTCAAGATTATTTAAGGATACTCATTTCTGAGTAAAGTTACGCACACCTACTCAGAAGTAAAGGAGACTCATCTCTGACCAAAGTTACGGGCACTCACTTAGTAGTAAAGGAGACTCATCTCTGAGCAAAGCTATGGGCACTCACTCAGAAGTAAAGGAGATTCATCTCTGAGCAAAGTTACGGGCACTCACTTAGAAGTAAAGGAGACTCATCTCTGAGCAAAGTTACGGGCACTCACTTAGAAGTGAAGGAAACTCCTCTCTGAACAAAATTACGCACACTCACTCAAGAATAAAAGAGACTCATCTCTGAGCAAAGTTACGGCACTAACCCAGATGTAAGAGAAATTCATCTTTGAGCAAAGTCATGCTCATTTACTCAGAAGTAAGGGAGACCTATTTCTGACTATAATTACCCAGCCATGCGTATATTTTCCTGATTACAGAACCACTCATGCATATCTTTTACGGCAGTCCAACATAACTATCTTTAAATTTGAGATTTTGATAAATTTATCCAATCATGCGTATCTTTCACAGCGGTTCAACAGAACTACCTCTACGGCTGGGTCTTCATTCTTGTTCCAGCATTCGCTCTTTTCATCTTGGGTTACGCTATGAATATAAAGACGTGGAAACTCATGACAGGTAACGTGGTTATTTAATTTGAAAAAGAACGAAAGAAGAAAAACTAATCGTAACTTAGAAAAATGTGTTATTTATTCAACTGATCATCTGTACTGGCATATAAACCACTTTCTGAATATTCAAATAAAATATTATTTACGTTAGAAATTAAAGTATGGTGTCAGACCTGAAATTAGGAAAGGGAGGGGGCTTTTTTAAATGTAAAAAAAACGCTTTTTTTCTGTATCATACATATCAATTTTTGTAGCTTGAAACGCTTTTTAAAGCCTCCAGACTCGCTAACTTTTACGGTCTGACTTGGCAAATTCCTGGCTTCGTCCATGGGAGTAGCGATGAGATTTGAACCCCACATTTGTACGCTGCGCGTCAATAAACTTAGACCCGACATATCGCGCCTGCAAGTGCAAAATTTGATTGCTGCCCCACACTCGCTCCAGTTCGCAGCGCGACATTCGGTATTTGGCGCGTTATGATTTTCAATGAAAGCAATATTGGAGATTCAGGGAATGTCGCTAATCCTGTTGTATTGGAATTATGAATTTTATTTTGTTAAATATGAGTTTGGTTGCGCGAGACTAACCCCTCTATTCTTTCTCTGTGTATTTATGCTAGTGGATCCGTATGTGTATAATGCATGCATCATACATTCATTATTCCTTATGCATCAAGAATAAACATGACCATACTGTGCAATTCAAGAGTCGTGTTGAAAATTAACACAAATGACTGAATGAGGAAGTCTGTGATTGATCAGACGAAACGTTACAGAAGTACATTTGTGTTACTTTGCAGCGCGACTCTAGAATGTCTTAGAATAGTCATCTTTACCCCAACCACGTGTATTGTCACGCAGTTTCAAGATGTTGATCAAATACTGGCGTGCTCGCCATTGTCACAGTGTGAAGATGTTGCTACTTTGGTTTAAGATGAATCAGAAGACTCAAAGATTCCGGATTGGTCGTTTCATTGTACGGCAACTGCAAAATTACAAACATATAACAGACAAACAAAACACCGCCAAATAACAGAGGTCGCCAGCGCAGCGGCCGGAGAAAGAGAGCGAAAGACATAGTTTTTCTCTCACGTGTAGTGAGTGGTCGGAGTCCAGATCCGACAAACCATCATTGAACAAGGGTCAACACAACTGGTCATAAACATAAAAATTTATAAATACACGCAATATTAACACGAACACTATAGTTCGTGATATTTATCGGGCCCGAAAGCTGTTACGATTTAACTCAGCAATTAGATGAAACGTTACAGAAATACATTGCTTTTAGTGTGCGGCAGAACTCTTGAATTGCATGGTATTTATATTGGCATTTTGTATCATTTCAATCACAGGTTGCTGCCGAAGAAGCTCCAAAGCAGCGAGAGGATATGGGGCTGGATGTGTAACAATATTGGAAGTCTACGTACAGGTGGGTTTGAAATTTTTATTTGCGAAATTTATTCATTTTTTTTTACTCCTTTGCTTCCAAACAAGCGTCCACTGATATCAAACGACATGTAAGGAGTTACTTACTCTCTTTAGGAGGACTGAAATCATGCGACATTGACTGGTAACCGGATGATTGCCTGTGGTTTGTCTTATATTAAGCCTCAAAAATAGTCTTTCAACCTGCGTTTTTGCTAACCTTATAACACAATTCCCAGGCAATGGTGGCACCTTTAGCATGGATGTCCGTGGCATTTCTGGACGGGAAATATTTTGCATGCGCAGTTTCAAAAGATCCGTATAAAAACAACTGTGATGATGTACTGACAAGAAAGTTAACTACAAGTAAGTAATATTACGTCACTGGATGACGTCATTGTAGAATAGATTTGAAATAATATCATTTTTTTCATTACGACGATGGACAACTCGTAATATTTTTGAGATATCCAACGCCATTCTTTGCAACGTCATTTATCAAATTACGTCATTAATAGATTGTGACGTTATCTTCCATTCTTTTTTTTGAATAATTTACTTAGTTGAATTAATTTTAATTAGAAGCAAGCGAGTGAAAGCATTTAAATATGTAACGCCATTTAATTGTTGTGACGTCACAGTTTTTCACAGTTCAGAAGTTCAAAAGAGTTTGACCAAAGCGTAAATATAACTCTTTGAAAAAATGAACAAAAATGGGGCTACGCTGTGTTTGTGGCTTAATTTAACGCATTAGATAGTTTTTTGATCAAAATTGCGTTTTATATTTAAATTTCTTATAGCTTCTTAAAGTTCAAATTCCATCTTTCGATTTTATGCTATCTCCTATAACAGCTAACTTATTCGATTCGGTACAACACACGACGAAAATTCCCCATAAGATTTCATTGCTCCACGTTTCCCAAAGTTTAATCTCTCATATTTGAATGATCCGCTATTTGTAATTCTAAACTCAAAACTATGTTTCCTCTCAGCCACTGCCGAATTCGAAGCGAACAAGCGGAAATCCCAAATTATCGGATGGTGTCTGATCGCGTTCACGCTCTTTCTAGGATCAATCTTTTATATGATTCACAGGTTGGTTTATTTATTATATATTTCGTATGTACGCTGCTACCGTGACTTAGGTCGCAGTGGTTCTTGAACTTTTTGAGCCGCGCCCTCTTTTGGATTTTCTCTAATTGTGCTTTTTACAGATGCCTCTCACCTTTGACCTATCACCATCGGAAGTATGCAAGATGGTACCGGGAACTGGAATCTGACGCATTCGAGAAGAAGGCAAAGGAGCAGGTACTGTAAACCAGTGGTTTCTAAACTTTTTTCGAGCAACCTGATTTTTTTTTAAATACATTTTGTAAAATCTCGCGAAACAAGAATAGGCTCAAATACTAAATGGCATGCGATACTATGGACGCAAATTCAACGACTGATATAAATCAATCATGTTTACTTAACATTTATTCCGACAGAAATTACTTTAAAGTGAGAAGGCAGTGAAATGGTGGATACGAGATTGGAAGATTAAAAAGTGGCAAGGTGTTTTCCTCAAATCTCACATTTTTGCATTAGTGGCGGGAAATTTGTACAAAAAATTCCGAATCGTGAGAAAGTCCAACAGCGTAGCCATCCCGAAAGACTTACTTCGCTGTCGAAGTTATCCAAAGTATACGGGCGCGCATTTTCATCAAATTTTGCACAAAAAATTCACAAAAAAATGTTGAAAATGAGGCTACGCAACGATCAAATTGTAAATGGTTGACTGCAACATATATTCGCTCAAACCTACATCGCGGCTTCTGACCCATTTTTAACATTTATAGCTGTTTTTTTTACAACACTCCCGCATTTAGATGCGTTTTCTCCGACACTTGCCTTCTCTATACTATTTATTTAGCGTTCGTATATTCAAGCATCTATCTCTTTTTCAGATCAGAGCAGAGGTAGAGAAAGAGACCGTTGCCAGATTTTTGCAAAAGAAACGCAACAAGGACCATTGGGACAAGATTTCAACCGTTTTCAACTTCACGAGAGATAAATATAATTATGCGTTGTATAGGTAAGTAGCCAGTGATGAGAATTAAATGTTTGAGAACGGGTTCCTAATTTTAGAAACAGGTTCTCATTTGTATTGAGAACACTAGCAAGTGTTGGGTCGAGTCATCGATTGACTTGAATCCCCGTTAGGGCTGGGCATTTTCGAATACCTGAAGATTTTCATATTCAATAGAATTCTTTTTTGAATCCAATCTCGAATACTCAAAATATATTTAATCGTATGTAATTTTTTATTATTGTTATGGATCCGCCAGACGCATAAATTACTGAAAACATAGTTATATTTATGCCATTGCAAAAATATGGCTTCAATTCAAAACAATTAGGAATTTATCTCGAGACCTTTGGTGCCAAATAAAAAAAACAAGATGGCTGCGATTAAAAATTTTTGTTTGAATTAATTTGAATAATTCACTATTCGATTCGAACATTCGAGTCCCCGTTTATCAGAAATTCAAAGTAACTCGATTAATCTGAATCGGTGGTTCCAAAGTTGATTGACCGGGCCGGGAGAGTGGTGCACCCGCATGATACCGGTACTGGTCGGTATCATTAAGATACCGGTATAATTGAATTGTTACGAATATACACGTGCTCAAACTGTGGTGATCATGTAACATTTTGAGATATCTAGAACGTGAAGAGGAAACATAAAGTGGTAAACTATTGTTCGGCGGGTCGTATCAAATAGTTACGCAGGCCGCGGTTTGGGAACCACTGAACTAAATGAACTCTCTTGTAATCATCATCTCCAGTAAAATTCAACTCAGTCGGCTAGAGTCAACTTTCCATCTCTCAACTTTCTATCAGCCTTTTTAATTTTAGTTGATTGATCAAAACATTTTATGGGATTTTCCTTTTCGAGATAAATATAAACGTCCTATCCTGCATCACTGTGTAAAATATAAACACATAATCCCATGCTAGTGATTTGGTGTTTGCGGGACTAACTACTTATCTTTCTCCTATGCCCGTGTGATAGTGGAACCGTGTGCGTATAACGATGATGGTATAGAGTTATGGAGATTATTATCCTGAGTGATTTATGAGTCTTGCTGCACCCTAACACAAATATACTTCTGTACCGTTACGTCTGACCGAAATGAGACTTTCTCAGACATACTTAGTTCAACTATACCTGTCTGAGGAAGTATGACCTTGGTCAGACGAAACGTTACAGAAATATACTTGTGTGAAATATATTAGTGTGCGGCAAGACACAGAAATCAATTAGAAACATAATCTCATGTTGGTAAACTTAGAAACGCCTACAAGATATAATCTGAGCAATATTTTATTTTTTCAGTCGTCTTGACGAATGGAATGAGAAGAATAAATCCGAAAAACTCCTCGGAAGTGACGTCACGAAACCTCCAGTGAATGACGTCATGAGTAGTGAAGATGAATCATCGTTAGAAACAACGACAACCCCAAAGCCGCAAGAAAAGCCGAAAATCCCAGGAAAAGTTGAAAAGTGTGTCGGAAATAACATGGAAATGAAACAGATAATTCCGAAGATTTCGCCGCCACCCGGTAACAAAAACGCGGGAAAACGTCGTCTGTCGTCTTCCGGGATTGAAGACAATTGTTCCTTCACTACGTCACGACAAACACCAGATATGACGTCACGACAAACACCAGATACGACGTCACGGCAAACGTCAGATATGACGTCACGACAAACGCCGGATATGACGTCTGATACCGCAGCGTTGGAATTGGCTGCGCATCAAAAGCAAGTAATGCCTCCGTCTTATGGATCAAATGATATGACGTCACAGGGTGCCCATCTTTTGACGCCACAACATACTGAAGCATCGATATACGATAATGACGTAGCACATAACACTGACGTCACTGAGCAGAGATACAAATCAATGCCAGATATTTATACAAAAACAAAATCAACTTTAAAGAACGGGAAAGTTCATATAAAGTCCGCCAGTAAAGAGCCATTTTTAGAAGACGATGACGACGTCACATCTTGATGACGTCCTAAACATCATTGTGTGTATTTTTTACTGACTTTTGAGTGATGCATATAAGATGAAAAAATAATCTTAACTATGGGTCCCAATCCGGAATAACCAAATTGTATCTGTACCACCCCCTTACCGTGCCATATAATCAAGTCGTCAAAAATATATAAAAAAAAAAAGGCCATGCGTCTGGAAGGATTATCTGTTTAACAATTTTCATGCCCGACTTGGCCTGGTAACCGGGAAAGTGACCGTTTATCATTATGATCAAGGCTTCCCTTCCCCAGGATAAATATAGGAATCCTAACCTACGATTAATTCGTCTAATCGACTTCCCATTAACCCCATCTAAATATTAAAACCCCACGCCTTTAGGACCCAATAGCGCATTTTATCATGGCAAAGTTCAAAATATATTATTTTCACTTATGAAAGTATTCGTAAAATAAGACTGAAATTTGTGTTAGTGTGCAGAACTCCTCCTGAATCACGGATTTTCTAGCGCTAAGGCCCAGTTCACCGTTTTCCAACGAGTTGGTCACGGCCCTTTGCTGGGTTCTAGAAACATATTCACGTGGGCTACAAATCTATGAAAAATTGCTGATTGAGTGTTTGATTGATATTGATTGTATCAGCAATGAATGATGATGCTGTTTTCTGCTACTGAGTGGTAATTTACATTTAAATTATTGAAGTGTTTTTTTTTTACGGAAAGAAAATTTCGTTTTTTCTTGTAGGGCCACGGAATTTTTGAGCAACGAAAATAGGCCACGAAAAAAAAATGATAGAAAACGACTGACCTAGTTATTGTTCTACAGACTTCACGACCAACTTTGTGAACTTTCTGTGGCCCCTGAGGAACTGAAACAAAAATAAATTTAATATTACAAAAAATATTAAAACTGACAGAATCTTTAATGAGATTGATGTGCATTCATATTCTTTCACAAAGTACTTGATCGTGACCCTATTATTTCGATGATGGTGCGTCTTAGTACGGATTCCAAATTAATGGATATTTTGTTTTAACATAAGTTAGTGTCGAAAAAGATTTTTCTGCAACCCCAATAAACCCTTTCGATGTCCACCGGGGGTCGGGAAACCCAGTTTGAAAAGCCACGCCCCAGAAAGAGGATGGGGAGTTAGTCTGACGTAACCCCAACTCATGTCCACATAGCTCAACGATCTTTCCGAATAAATCTTTAATTTTAATAATTTATATTATTCTTACACTTTCTTTTTATTATTTATAATCAGTTTTCTATTAAAAGTGAGTTTGTTCGTTTTTTGTTAGAGAATATCGGGGGTACCGTTCCAAGCGTACCGTGGTTAAACGATAGTCACGTTTTTTCTCATTGTTCTAAACGTCACCGGGGCACTTCTGAAATTAATAATTGTTATTCGGTTTAACGTGTTTACGTTTTTTTTAAATGAGCAATTAAGCTCTTCATTCATTACCAACAAGGTTTCTGAACGTCACTCACTTACCTCTGAAACTAAGAATGATTTATAGTTTACCGTACCGTGGTTTCAGTTTCGACAAACCGTAATAAATGATAATTTATCAGTTTTTCTTAAAAAAAAAACATGGTTTCTCATCACAGACAAGGGCTCCTGAGCGTCATCGAAGCACTGCTGAAATCAAGATTTGATTGGTAAACCGTATTTGAGTTTGACAAATTGCAATATATTGGTTGACCGTTCTTTCTATTTTATTGAATACACAAATAAGATTTTTCTCGTTGCCGACAAGTGTTGCTTCCTTCGACACATCGTAATTAATGACAATTTATCATCTTTTTTTTGTTAAATAAACAAACAAAACTCCCATTAGTGACAAGGGTTTTTAGGCTTCATCGCATTGCGGAAATATTTCTGATCATCTGACCGAAAGCTATAACGGTTAATCGGTTGACGGTGATTTGGTTTTGAGAAACCGCAATTTTTTCTTAGAAATAAGCAGTCACGCTCTCTCTCTCATTACCAAAAAGTGTTGTTGAACGTCACTTCTGAAATATTGGATGGTTTATTGGTTTAACGGTATGGCAAAGCATATCGGTTTATCGTGGTTTGGAAAGTTGCGTAGCTTTTGTGATATTTACCAAAATAGACAATCGTCTCACATGATTTAGAGTTGTTATGTTGGCGATTTCTTATATGAAATGGAAAAATAGTACAAAACCTATGTCGGCTAAACGGTTTACCGTGGCCTACCATTGAAAACCCGTCATTCAGCAGTTTTTGTTTTAAAATAAACAAAGGTAAACCTCAAGGGTTCCTGAACGTCACTAAATTGCGGAAATACTTCGTTTTTGAGTAAACTATTTACTTTGTATGTAGCTAGCAATGGCGAGACGTCGACAGAAATAAACATAACAAGTTATTGTTGCGCTGTTTTTTTTTTATATTTATCCTGGGGTGGGGAGTATAGTCAATAGACCAGGTTATAATATAGGAGTGGGTATTGCCGACCCGGGTGCAAGGCTGCGTCAGGGGGGTAGCAGAAATTTTCAAGGGGTAGGAGAAGGGTCTGAAATTCCTAATTGTCAAGTTAGATTGTGACAGAAGGCCGGAAACGTGAGCTTTCAAGAATATTGAGGTTCTAAAAATCTATCTTACTAAATCAATTCAATTTCGGTGTTCATCTACTAAATCTAGACAAACAAAACCGGAGACGTTGTTTCTAAAATATTATTTCCATTCGTGCAGCGAGAGTCAATATTTACCATATATGTAGAAGGGGCAATGTTTATGTAATGTCTACGAGACGATGACGTAGAGAATCTAGTTTCGATTATTCGTCTCGTAAGCAATTTTTGAGACTTATGACTCAGACAATAGTGTTTCCATAACACAATTTGGTTTGTGTTTTTACTTTCACAACTGAAAAATCTTTTAAAAGCACGGACACATGCACGTTCAACTGTCACTTGTTCACCGGCGATTGTGTTTTGAGAACTATCAGTAGATACAGACTGTAACAAAGAAAATTATGGAAATGCGCAACAGTCAGGTCTGTCGTTTCCAGTTTTATTTTGTACAGTTCTCAAATCTACCAAGTTCATGCTTCAGGCCAGTGTTTCCCAACCTATAGGTCGCGACTAAAAGCTGGGTTGCTTGGAAATTCTCTCGGTTCGATTTGTTTTAAGCAAAGATTCAAAAGCTAGTCAATTTATTTCTTGGTAAATTTGATTGTTTATTTGGTATTAGAATGTTTCTCAGTAGTAATTGTATATACGGAAAATATAAAAACTGTTAAAACTTGACAACTTACATTCTGCTCATGTAAAGCTACGCAACTACATGTCTTTTAGACTTCTATCATATCCTTTTGTTGCAAGATTTTACAAAATTTATTTTCTGAAAAATAATTGCTAGCTTGAAAAAAAGATTGTGAATCACTGATTTAGGCAGCCAAGCGTGCCCAAACAGAAAGTCTCGGCAACTAACGGCTTTCCTTTGCCAATTTCTAATTTGTTATAAATTAGTTAACGCTAGAGAGAGAGTCATTTGAAAGGCGGTGATCGACTCAATATAGGATAAAATAAGTTGGCTTGCTAACTAATGGGTCGAATCAAAAACCCCTTGGCTTGTTTGTTAAACTTTATAAATATTGATTCCATTTTTAGTTAATTTTATATTTGTTATTAAAGTGTTACTTAAGAGTAATTGTGTGGGAATTATTACCGCATAAAATTTTTGCAGGATCCATTCTGCTTAAGTAAAGCCACATCACAATTTCAAAAAATGTCCGATGGCAAACAATGCAGTTTTGTCACTTTGAGGTAATTTCTGGTGAAATAAATGCTTTATGATAGCAATTTTGCAGCCACATAAGCACACTATATGTTGTTTAGTGTTTGAGCATATTCTTCGATCGCCAGTTCTTACAAAAAATTTTTTTTTAAATCAATGGTCGCTTGACTTGGTTGCCCAAACCTCTTCTGGTTGTTGACGACTGTTTTTTTATTTACCTTTATCCAGTGTGTGAAAGTTGATGAGGCCTAAGTGGAGAAAGAAGCGCATAAGGAGGTTAAAGCTGAAGCGCTGAAGAATGAGAGCAAGATCGAAGTAGGCGGGCAACCATGCGTGCCTAAACAGAGCGTCTTGTCAATTATACTTAACCTTCCCAATGAGTGATCTGGTCTGGTTATAAATTAGTTAATTCTAGATCTGATAAAGAGAGGCTCGTTTGAACGATGGTGATCGATCGGAAATGAAATGAGCTCAGATAATTGCTCTCTGGTTATGCAGCAACACAACAGTGCGTTTTTAAAGTCGAACGCCGTAAATCGCTGGGAAACCGATGAATGATACGCATGAGTTGCCCAAAGAAGTGGCTCTCAACTTTTTTCTTCAAAAATAAATTTTGTAAAATATCGTGATCCAATAATATGCTCAAATTCTAAAAGGCATGGGTTGAGCTCTTATGGTCGCAAAATTAAATACATGGAGTCCTCGACTTACGACGTTGTTCCGTTCTTGAGAAGCGGTGTAACCCGAATTTCAGTGTAAGTCGGAACAATATACTGTACAGTGGTACAGTGCATGAATTACTCTGTACACAACGTACTGTATTGTAAAGTATGGTACTGTAATAAAATGTACAAATAATGCAAAAAGTGCAATCTAAATGAGGAAAACCAAAGAGCCCAAAACACTGATTTTCTTGATCACAATTATCCAGTTTAAGGGCTTAGATATTACAGTACAGAATTATATTTTATATTTTTTTGGAAGTGCGTTCGTAACCTCGAAATAGCGTAAGTCGCGACCGTCGTAACCCGAGGACTCCCTGTACTAATATAAAACAATTATTTTTACATTTATTTTCCCCAAATTCCTTCAAAATGAGAAAGCTGCGATTGTATGCCATTAGCGAACATTTAAAATCGTGGCGTGTCTTTACTTAAGCAAAATACATATTGCCAAGTTTTTACGCTATACAATTGCTATTGAGCGGCACATCGATGCTAAATATAATAATCAAAAATGTTCTAAAAATAAATCAGTAACCCCTGAGATATGTTGAAAACAAGGGAAAATTGTCAGGTGAAAATACCATAAAGATCCAAACGAACGTTGCGAAAACGGGAAAAGGAGAATTCTTTTTTATTTCTGTGTTTGTATTTTAGATCATATTGTTAGGAATAAAAGTTCAATGAAATGACTGACCGACTGAAGATTATTGGTTTACTTATTATAATCGGCGTCATCAACTGCCAAGGCAAATGTGAGTAAATTCATTATTTGATTCATTTCTCCTTCTTCGCTCTGAATCAGGCTTCACACAAGCAATATCACATTATAATCTACAAGGCTTGGGAAGCCCACGAATCACGGTATAATTTATGACAGTGGTTTTCAAGTTTTTATGGCTCGTGGCTGCCCTATGTAGACTTTTATCACTCATGCTTCCCTGTTTATTATTATTCCTGAGATATTTATAGTTTTAATCTGATTGGAATATTCTAAATACCATTATGTTCAAACAATCCATGTTCAACTAATTGAAAACACCCTCTGAAATATTGTTATCAAGCAATTAAACGAGAATATCGGTCAGAGACCGAAGACCTATCGATCGAAAGTTATTACTCCATAGCGACACTGTGTGTCCCATCACTAATTAATTAATAACTCGCTAATTATACAACATGATTCATCCAAAATCAATAGGCTTCTGTTCCGAGATATGATGAATGCACATGCAAAATTTGGTGCAGATTCAACCTCGCTGTCGTGAGATATCGTCGGTATCTAACAGACAAACAAACAAACAGACAAAAACCTAACAACATACTTACCGATCAAGATCGATAAATAACAAGGAAGTGAAAGTAAAATCAGTTTTGCCTAACATTGTGGCCCAACTACTCTGTGGTTCCATTGGAGGGCAGAAGGCCGCTAATCTAAAGGATGCTTTCACCAAATTTTTTCTATGAACAAAGCATTGGACAAATATCTACTGACACGTGAAACGGTAATTTATATTTCGAGATTGTCTAACCAATTTATTTCACCCTAGTGCAGAGGTTCTCAACTATCTATCTTTCGTGGCCCACTTTTGTAGCACAAAAATTCGTAGTCTATTACGTTTTTCATGCAAGGGGAAAACTACAGAAAAAGCAAAAAATTATTTTCGCAAAATACACACTTTCACTTCGCAATAATTAAAATGAAAATTACCACTCAGTAGCAAAAACAGCATCGTCATACATTGCTAACAATTGGGGTTACGTGAAACTAACTACCTTTCCTTGCTATCTATGCCTTTGCGCAGTGGATCCGTATGCGTATAACGCAAGATTGCAAGAGTGAAAATAACTATTCTATTGCTACTACAATCAAAATTTACCTATAGTGACTCGAATGAAACTGAATTTATCAATACCACAATTTTCAATATGTTTGTGGCCCACCTGAAAATGTTACTGTGGCACAGTAGTGAATCATGGCCCATTATTTGAGAACCTGTGCTCCAGTCAAGAAGGCGGCTAGGAGTTTAGACTGGTTAGAATTCCGATTGCCCTGACTGACAGCGACTGAGTATAATCCTTAGTTTTTTTTTAGTTCAGGGGGGATTAAAATTAGGAGTGGTAGATATTTTGTTAGGGGGTGGTGGATATAATTATATAGTGTCACCCTGAAAATTGGGGTTGACTTTTGGGGGGATGTAGGAAAATGCATCAGTGCAGCGATTTGTAGTCAAAACTTTAGCTTTCTATTTCAGATATCGATAACTGCGACCAAGAGAACGTCTGTGTGAACGGTCGATGCATCAACGTACCAGGAGGATTCACTTGTGAATGCCTTGATGGGTAAATACAACTTTCTCATATAAGACTCTGACTAAATACCGATAGAGCGATGCTCGCGAACGGTGGGTGAATTTCCTACATACCCCATAGCTGGACAATTTCAAACACCCAATATCTTACTATTATTTATGGGAAGATCAATAGTATAGATATAGTATAGTCAATAGTATAGAAAGATAAAATTTACATATATATCCCGGGAAGAGAAATGTCAATAAAACGGTAATCATATGGAAAATCACGGCCTCTCTTTTGGTTACCAGTCCATGCCGCGTAGGGGATTAGTTAGCCGACTTTAAACGACTAGTGGTTACGTGTACTACCCTATGGCAGTGAGGGCTTCAGCAATCTTCTCGCACATAATTATCCTCATGGGATTCGAACCTGTGAACCCACGCATAGCAATCACAGGTGCGGCGCGAGCAAATTACAAACGCTTGGTACGATGAGCCACACCGCCGAGCCTTACGATAATTAACTATTATTTATGGGAGGATTAAAATCTTCCCCTTCGACATTCCCTCCCCAGCTTATCACACCCTGAGTGAGGTGGTGGGCATGAGATTCGAACTCAGGATATTTAACTACGACAGTACGATGACATCGCGGCTCAGTCCAACGCTTTACCCATCACACCATCTTAATTCTTGTTATTTTCAGTTTTGAAAAAGACGAACAAGAGTTAAACTGCATCGACATTGACGAATGTGCTGGCGTGGCCAATTGCATCAACGGTGAATGTGTCAACTCTTTCGGATCCTATAAATGTCAATGTCCAAAAGGGTTTATTTATAATCCTGTTCATGTCGGATGCATTAGTGAGTATTATCTGAATGCGCATTTTAGTTGAATCGGAGTCTAGGATTAGTAGACTCTAGGATTTGGGAATCGGCGAAACCCCACAGCGCCATGTAACCCTGGTTGAAAACAAGTAGCATAGCGCGTTAATTAGGGCTGAGCCTTTTGAATTGAATAGTAAATTATTCGAATTCGCACACACCAGAATGTAGTATTTGTACCAGGTTAGGATTAGACAATAATTTAAGGCACAAATACTACGGGAGTCACTTGGCCAGTCCCTGAACTCGTAATAGGACCAAAATAAGTTAAATTGGAAAATACCTCGTTTCCGTGTCCGCCAACTTCGGAGTTCACATACTTCGGGGTACCCAAGTTGTTTTAAATACTGGTTAAATACACAGTAAGACTTCTACATTAATAACTTGAATGTTGCAACCTTTATAATCAGATGAAAACCATAATTTCGAATCCGACCCGATCACAGAGGACTTGGAAGACGTTGATGAATGTATGGAAATTTCAATTTTATGTCAAGTTGGAAAATGTGTCAACGTTTGGGGAACTTTTGTCTGTGAATGTCCAGAGGGCTACAAGCTCAATGAGGAGAACTATGTGTGCGAAGGTAAACAATTTGTTTCGATACTATTTCTCTATATGTACATATGATAAAATGTCATCCGCTGCTGCTGGGTATTATTCCTAAACCCGAGTCGCGAGTCAAGATCAATGTCTTGTCTCAAGACAGGTAATCAGCTTATCAACATAATCATACCTATATTTACCCTATTTTATTCCAACGTTGTGATGTCAGAATGGCAAACCACGTCTTCGTGTCCCGTTCTTGATCACTTTTATGGCGAAATTTATTCAATTACACCTGAACTTCTGTTTGTTCATGATTTTAACTGAGAAGTTTCAGTGATACAGGACGCGTTGTACAAATATCGTGTCTTGTATGAAATAGGTTCCGCTTCACCTGTTAGACACATCCTATAGCAGGGATGATGAACCACTGACCCGCGAGTCACAAAGTGACCCACCGCGTTTTATTCGTGACCCGCCAAGGCACGAATAAAATAAAATGCTAACATATCAGGGATAAAAACTGAAAAAACCGACCTTAAATTAATCTAACAATAACTAAACTATTGTAATGTATCGTCAGTTAGGCAGTCAGCGCTGCGATCGCTCATATTTAAATTGATAATTTCCGGTTTGGTAATTTTCAAAACCCCTAATCTTGAACGCGTGTCTGCACCGTTGTGTGCCCTTATCAGCTATTGGCTCTGACATCGTTTATGACATAACAATGCAATTGCGTCCGGTTACCTGTCTCATGTCGGGTATGAGATTAGTTAGCCAATTATGTGTTTTCAGTGTCATGGAACAAAACCGTAACCACTACCCTAAGGTGGCAAGGAGTCCAGCAATCATCTCGCACATAATGAATCCCCCATCAGATTTGAACGTACGAGCCCACTCAGGGTAATCAGAGGTGCGGTGATAGGCGTATTTCTTATGCTTAGCACGATGTTCTCCACTGCCGATTGACTTGATTAGTAATTTCACCAATATTTTGTATGCTTCACAGTCACAGAAGTACCAGTCACTGAAAACTGTTTCCTGACAGTAGAAGGCGATGAAACAGCTCCGACCTGTTCCGATGGTGTCGGAGTTAATGTTTCCCGCGCGGCTTGTTGTTGTAGTCCCTACGGGAAAGCCTGGGGAGGAAATACATGTGAAATATGTCCTGAGAAAAATACTACCGACGTAAGTGTTTTATTTTTTTACATGAAGTGTACATTTAAATCGTTTTGCTAAATATTTTGTGGTTGTTCATGATAGGGATTTCTTGTTGTTGTTGTTTCCCAATTTAGGAGATTAGCGATAGCAATGTGTTATGAACTGCACTAGAATAGGCGCGAGTTTCTGAATAATAAAATTTAATTACATTTACGGTAAGTTGGAATTTTGAAGTGTTGTGTCACACCACAAAATTATAAGAGTGGGGGGGGGGGGTATTTATATTTTAGGGAAGTTTCTTTATTCTTAGAAACAATCTGTTCCATCCCACTTCCAAGTCATATTTGGATTTAAACTACACGAACTGATCTTCGCCGGTAGGGTATTGTTTCGTCAGTGTGGCAATTAATTTGCTGTTATTACGTTATGAATGAACGCGTAGCAATTAATGAGGTTCTAATCTAATATCATTTCTAGCAAATCAAACATTCGAATTGACCAATCTAAAAAACTCTACCCTTAAAATAAAACAAAAATATGGAAACATATTAAAATAAGAACTTCACAGATTACTTTTCTCCATACAGTATCAAACACTCTGCCCGGAAAAAGTGTCGGAGGAAAAATCCAGATCGCAACCGGTTACGGTATTGTTGGAAGACATTGATGAATGTATGGAGATTCCAGGTTTATGTCAAGGTGAAAAATGCATCAACACAATCGGATCTTTCAAGTGTGAATGTCCAGAGGGATACGGATTCAACGAAGAGAGCAGAGTTTGCGAAGGTAGAGAATATGAAAAAATTCAACTTTTTAATAATGCAGATTTAGAGAATTCCCCTACAGTATCAAACACTCTGCACAGGAGGGGTCGGGATCGAGTTAAACCTTATTCAGAGCACGAGTAAGCGTTGAATTATGTATTTGTAAAAAAATTGCCTCATTTTAAAATTTTGGGCTGACTGAGTTCTTGGTTAGATCGATTTTGGGTAGGAATCCTTACATCTGGAGGTGCGAGTCATTGGACTCCTTTTACAATGTAGTTTTTTCGATTGATCCCCGGGATTCGGGAGGGTTTAGACGAGGAGCCACGTGAATCACCCTGCGGCAGCGAGGAGTCCAGCAATCCTCTCGCACATAACTACCCCTTGCATGGGATTCGAACCTACAAACCCACACAGGGTAATCAAAACCGCATATTTCTTACATTTTTGTGATGTCAGAATGGCAAACCGCGTCTTCGTGCCCTGTCGCCTGAACAGGTTCAAAAATACGGGTTGATCCACGAATCAGAATTCATAATTGGTATGAATATATATGGGTAAATTTGCAATGTTCCTCATATGGTACCTCACTTAGGATAAGACTTACATATTTATCAGATTTGAACGTACGAACCCACTCAGGGAAATCAAAAGGTGCGGTGATAGGCGTATTTCTCACGTTTAGCACGATGTTCTCCACTGCTAATCCACTTGACTAGTAATTCCACCAATGTTTTATTTTTTTACATGAACAGAAATACTAGTCTCAGGAAACTGTTTCCTGTCAGTGGAAGGCGATGAAACAGCTCCCACCTGTTCCGATGGTGTCGGAGTTAATGTTTCCCGCGCGGCTTGTTGTTGTAGTCCCTACGGGAAAGCCTGGGGAGGAAATACATGTGAAATATGCCCGAAGAAAAATACTATCGACGTAAGTTTTTTTTACATGAAGTGTACATTTAAATAGTTTTGCTAAATATTTTGTGGTTGTTCATGATAGGGATTTCTTGTTGTTGTCGTTGTTTCCAAACTTAGGGGAGGGGGAGGGGTGTAGATATTTTTCTATTATCGATAACAATGTGTTATGAACTGCACTAGAATAGGCGCCAGTTTCTAAATAATTAAATTTAATTACATTTACGGTAAGTTGGGATTTTGAAATGTTGTGTCACACCACAAAATTATAAGAGTGGGGGGTGGGGGTATTTATATTTTAGGGGAGTTTTATTTATTCTTAGAAACAATCTGTTTCATCCCACTTCCAAGTCATATTTTGATTTAAATTACACGAACTGATCTTCGCCGGTAGGGTATTGTTTTGTCAGTGTGGCAATCAATTTGCTGTTATTACGTCATGAATGAACGCGCAGCAATTAATGAGGTTCTAATCTAATATCATTTCTAGCAAATCAAACATTCCAATTGACCAATCTAAGAGCCCGGTATAAGAAACTCTACCCTTAAAATAAAACAAAAATATGGAAACATATTAAAATAAGGACATAACAAATTACTTTTCTCCATACAGTACCAAACACTCTGCCCGGAAGAAGTGTCGGAAGAAAAATTCAGACCGCAACCGGTTACAGTATTGTTGGAAGACATTGATGAATGTATGGAGATTCCAGGTTTATGTCAAGGTGGAAAATGCATCAACACATTCGGATCTTTCATGTGTGAATGCCCAGAGGGTTACGAATTTAACGAAGAGAGCAGAGTTTGCGAAGGTAGAGAATATGAAAAAATTTAACTATTTAATAATGCAGATTTAGAGAATTCCCCTACAGTATCAAACACTCTGCACAGGAAGAGTAGGGATCAAGTTAAACCTTATTCAGAGCACGAGTAAGCGTCTTATTATGTATTTGTAAAAAAATTGCCCCATCCCAAAATTTTGGGCTGACTGAGTTTATGGTCAGATCAGTTTTGGGTAGAAATCCTTACATCTGAACAAGTCGTTGGATTCCTTTTACAATGTAGTTTTGTCGATTGATCCCCGGGATTCGGGAGGGTTTAGATAAGGAGCCACGTGAATCACCCTGCGGCAGCGAGGAGTCCAGCAATCCTCTCGCACATAACTACCCCCTTGCATGGGATTCGAACCTACGAACCCACACAAAGTAATCAAAACCGCATATTTCTTACATTTTTGTGATGTCAGAATGGCAAACCGCGTCTTCGTGCCCTGTCGCCTGAACAGGTTCAATAATAGGGGGTGATCCACGAATCAGAATTCCTAATTTTTATGAATATATATGGGTAAATTTGCAATGTTTCTCATATGGTACCTCACTTAGGATAAGACTTACATATTTATCAGATTTGAACGTACGAACCCATTCAGGGTAATTATAAGGTTCGGTGGTAGGCGTATTTCTCACGTTTAGCACAATGTGCCACGCCGCAAAGCCACTTGACTAGTAATTGCACCAATGTTTTGTTTTTTCACATGAACAGAAGTACCAGTCACTGGAAACTGTTTCCTGACAGTGGAAGGCGATGAATCAGCTCCGATCTGTTCCAATGGTGTCGGAGTTGATGTTTCCCGCGCGGCTTGTTGTTGTAGTCCCTACGGAAAAGCCTGGGGAGGAAATCCATGTGAAATATGTCCGGAGAAAAATACTGACGACGTAATTGTTTTATTTTTTTACATGAAGTGTATATTTGACTAATTTTTTAAGGTTGTTTATGTTGTCGTTTTCTTGTTGTTGTTGTTGTTTCCGAATTCAGAGGAGTGGTAGATATTTTGCTATTAGCAATAAAACTATTTGTAACTCATGATGTGTTATATTTCCACTGACCATCTGCACAGGTTATGCGCAACTTTCTGGATATTTGAATACAATTATATTTAGTTTCAATTCAAAATTTGGGGAGCTTGTTCACCCTCTGTGGGGGATGTGTAGGGAAATGATTCCCTAGTGCTCAATACAAACTATTAACATCAAAAATCACCTTACTCCTTCTTCATACAGTACCAAACACTCTGCCTGGGAGACGACCCGGAGGAGAATGAAAAATTCAGACCGATACCCATCACGGTATTGTTGGAAGACATTGATGAATGTATGGAGATTCCAGGTTTATGTCCAAGAGAAAAATGCATCAATACATACGGTTCTTTCAAGTGTGAATGTCTGGAGGAACCATGCACAAGTAAGAAATCAAGTTTTAAAGATATGCTAGAAAATTTTTACTTATAAAAACTTCGCAAAAACTTTCTACCTAGGGGATGAGTTCGTATCAGTTTTTGGGTAAGAACCCGTTATCTTGAGCCGAGGGTCAAGTCGTGCCAAAGATCATTCTACACTTTATACAATTTAGTTATGTGCTCACGTAACCCCCAAAAACTACCTATGTGAGACTCTTTGGATCCCCGGTTGAGAGTCATTGATCTTCACGTTTGTTTTTGCCCAATAAACAATCAATCATAGTTGCATTTATCGCCAACGTTAATTTACAACAAATTTTATCACTTCATTGCAAGTTCATGAAGCAGGCAGATATGGAATACCATTATACAAAAGGGACCTTGCAAATGCACTCGAAATTATCTTACAACGCACAGTTTGAGAACAACTGCACTGAGATCACAACAACTTATACGTTCGCATTGGCCATTGCAATAATTCTGGGTGTATATTCAACCATCCTGAATTATTCTCATATTATAGGCAAACCTGAAAATACTATAAACGCTTCCTTCCTAAAACAAAAATTACAATCATTTCAATTTTGTACTTGTCTTTACTGCACTGGTGAACGTGCTTAGTTTTATCATTATGGGCGTGTCAAACTTTCCTGCTGCCCGGGCCGAGTTTTTAAAATGATGCCCCTTAAACCTAACTTCCAAAATATTTCGGTGGATTAACAAATTAGAGAAGCCCACAAGGGCCTTCCCCTGCCCCACAATATTATCTTCAAATTTTTCCTGTGTTTTTAGCCTATGAGCCATGTGATTCAGATGATGGTTGTAAGAACGGTATATGCTTCATCAGCAGTCTAGATGGATTGCACTGCGAATGCAATCAGGGGTAAATATATATTTCAAACTTTTATAAAACAACAGAATTATGAGATCAGTTTGAGCCAGGTTCTATATCTTTAATATCTTCAATATCTTAACTCGAAATATCTCAATATCTTAATATATTAACTCGAAAATAGCACGGAAGATATATGTAATAATAAAGTGTTCCTATATACCATGTAGGAATGCTCCCATAAATTCAAATTAACAAACAAAATTGGGGAAAATTATCTGGTAAATTGAAGGACGACGATGGACGATCAAGTTCATGCTTCTGGAAACAAATAACTGCCTAACTAATCCCATATCTGACATCCTAAATTATGCACCACGCATTCCAACCTGCTGTTATGAACGTGACGTTGACTAACGAACTACACATAAATGCAACTTGATAGAAACGTCAGTTTTAATGAAAACAAACAATGAAAAAACACTGCATAGCGGGCTAAATTAGCACAGCCCACAAATCAACTAATGCAACACTAGTTGCTTCAAACTTTTTGAGCCAATTCCTTTATAGAGTTTGCAAAGTCTCGCGCCCCACCTCAAAAATAAGTAGCTAACAATAAGCTACAAATAACAGATAGTAAGGTAAAAGTATGTTTTATTCAAAAAACTTCAAAAATATGTGGATATGTGCAATCTCTGAACAAACTAAGAAATGTAAATATCCAAAATAAGGCGAGTAAAATTAAATATAACAAATATTTTTTATTTTTAATTAGCAATCGTGGGGGGGGGGGGGGCCCGCTGTTTGAGAATCACTGTTCTAAAACAAGGATGCTTACGCATACTAGTGGAAACATATTCGAAGTCAATGCACAACATCTGCCAATAAGTAAAAGGTACCGTAATCAAAGGTGTGATGGCAAGCGTAATCATTAACCGTAAACCTATACCAACAATACATTGTTGACGCAAGCCATGGTATTTCTGTTAGCGGTTAACTCAAAATTATTTGTACCGGGATGCCGTTTATCATCTGCAACCGGTATACCGATCAACCAGTTCTATACCGCGGTTCTGACTCAAGATTGTGTTCTCGTTCCAGTTTCAAGAAAGATGAACAAGGGTTAAACTGCATCGACATTGATGAATGTGATGACGTGTCCATTTGCATCTACGGGGAATGTGTCAACGTAGTGGGATCGTATATGTGTCAATGTCCAGAAGGATACATTCTCGATTCTAATGGTGTTGAATGCATCCGTGAGTATGTCTACTACACAGCCCAAAATAACTTTTACAGTAGATCGCCTGTTTTGGCACTTTTTATTCCTACCTTCTTCCATGGTGAAGGATTGCTCCATGATCATCAAAATGATGATATAATTGCGTCATTCAAATTCAACAAAAATTCACTGGAACATCTTAACTATTAAAACAAGTATTTATTATCAGATGTGTTTTTTATTCTTTTTATCTCTGGTTAAGTTAGGAAGACAAGAAAAAAGAAGAGCAATTATTCGACATTACTTGGAATAACGCACACAAAATCAAAGACAGTGAGACATTAAAGATGTCTTAAGAGTTACCGAATAGTGATTTATCATTTGTTACTCTTCTGTCATTGCCCCATTTCCAACTTTCTGCCCTGTTCTTTTTGTTTCTGTTAATCTCAAGTTAGGCTATGATAATTTTAGAAACACTTTGACACTAAATTCATGGCTGGAATCTTTTATAGTTATCAGTTGGGTTACGCAAGACTAACTAACTACCTTTCCCTGCTCTATGCCTTTGTGAAAGTTGATCTGCGCGCGCTGCGGCAAGAACAAAGATGAATATACTATTTGATTCAAATGTCTTGCGGCACACTAAAACAAATGTATTTTTGTAACGTTTCTCCAGGGCGATACGTAATCCTGGTTAAAAAACAACTAGAATAGCATCTCCACAAGCCACATCTATAAAGCTTTTTATATTGTAAGACCTCTACACATCAATTGGTGAAATATTCCAACCTATTTATTCAGATAAAAACCACGATTTTGAATCGGACCCAATCATAGAGGACTTATTGGACGTGGATGAATGTATTGATCTACCAGGTTTATGTCAAGGCGGAAAATGCATCAACGTTTTCGGATCTTTCATCTGCCAATGTCCAGAAGGCTACAAACTTAATGAAGAGAGCAGAGTTTGCGAAGGTAGAGAATTTGGTAAAATATAATTCCCCAATAATCTATATGGTGTCCGCAAAGTCTGGACACATAGAGTGATTAGCTATTTTTATTAATAATAATGACAGAAAAATTAACAATTTTGTGGGATTTTACTGTTTACACTGACAAAACTATTGGGGCAGAATGACCTAATATTATAGTAAAAGATTTCCCAAAAAAATCTCGTCTGTTATTAATAAATATGTATTGCATGCAATACTACTAAATTAAGGTAATATTAATTCTACACGCAAATAGAAAACAACCACCCCATAAATGCACATCTGACATTGGGAAAAACTCCTCTCAGGCTGGGAAATGTTGCACCAGACCATAATGCCAACATTTACCGGTGTATTGCAACTGATTCTTCATATTTAGACATCAACGACTGCATAGCACACTCTTGCGAAACTGATGATCGATGTGTTCCTACTACTGAAGGGCAATACGGATGCACTGGGGGTGAATGCGGAAGGTAGATAGATATTGTGTAAAGTATTGTCGAAGCCAATTGGAAGTAAAATTAGCGTTGTGCACATTTTATGTGACTCTGCTCAAGATTACACATGAATTACATTTGTCTTGTTCAAGGTCATATGCAATTTCTTATATGTGTTATGTGATCTTTTCAATGTCACACAAGAGTATTATTTTGTTTACTCTCATGCAAGGTCCTAAATGTTTATGTGATTTTAACCAAGGTCAAACGATAGTTAAATGTATTTCTATGTGCGTTGTTTTAGACACACAACGTCTCATATGTTCATGTGAATTGCGTTATATCACAGATAATGTCACATATCTTTATGTGTTATTTATTGCCACGGTCAGGTTAACGCCGTGTACATTTTATGTGATTCTGCTTGAGATCCCACATGAATTGGATATGAATCTTATGTCAATTCCACATGTTTGATGTGATTTTATCAGTGCGAGCATGCTGTGATCTGTAATGTGTTATGACTTCAAATGCAATCAATGTAACACTGATTTTTATTAAAATTAGATGAAGGTTATGTGGTTTTACTTATGTCGAAATCAAGTCTGTTCGTTTGAGTTATATAGTGTTTCGTGTGAAGAATTTAGTGGCATGTTATCTTGTTAATATTTAATGCCATTTCGAGAAATAAAAAGATTTGTGGGATATTGTATTTGTCCCAGGCAGCGCCTTTTCCGTAATGGTCCCAAATTGTTCTTTTTATTAATTAAAATATACGAGTACCCTTGCTACCCCAGTTTGATAACCCACACTCACATTCAGGGGCTTTGCAATGATGGGAGGTAGAGGATGCGGAGACATCAATGAATGTAGATTCCAGAACAATCCTTGCTCTTATCAATGTCAGAATTCATATGGTGGATTCAAATGTGGATGCCCAAGAGGATACTTCGGTCTCGGTGGAAGGTGGGTGTTGTTACGATGTATTGTTGGAAGGCTCAAATCACCATATAACGAAGACTTAAAGAGACTTGAGTCAATAACAGACTGTGCTGACAGGGGCAACTACGACCCGCGAACTAAATCTGGCCCATCGGGTGATTCAATCTGGCCTGTCTGATACTGCCGTAAATTTCTGCTTTTAACCAATTTTATGTAATCAACTTTTTTGTTCATAGTTTTCGCATTCTTGCCATTTTGTTACACATTTATAAATTGTAACTTTTTACGTCATACTTACATGGCCACCAGTCTAAATGGACAAAATTGTGGCTCCTGGGCCGCTGAGACAAAGATACCTCGAAATCCCAGTATTTGCTTTGCGACTTGGGATTGCTGCCTAAAACTACAAGTATATCTGTTCTCTCAACAAAGTTTAGAAGCGTGATATCCTATGCGCCGAAAATAAATCTCATTCTCTGTACTTGACATAATTCTTCGTTTTTCAGTCAATGCATTAAAGCTATCAGTGGATTCCAGCAACCAACTGGGAAATGCTATGACTGCCATTCCCTCAGTTCTACTGAGTCAGCACAAATGGAAATGATAAGCGGGGATGATGAGAACCGTCCGCCAGTTAATACATCTGTTCCAATCATTATGCATCTCAGCCTACAAAACCTGAACCCACGTCAACGATTGATCCAACTTATCCCAGCTATTCGGACATTGAAGGATCACACATTGTACAAAATCATCGGAGGAAACAAGGGCAGAATGTTCAGTATTAAAAAACAAGATGGCGTCCATTCTATTCATTATGAGGAAGATATAAAACCAGGGAAATTCACCATCAAACTCAAAGTGATTCCTAAAATCGGGAGAAAGGCGGCAAAGAAAGCGAGCCTCGGTATTCAAGAGATGGAAGCAACAATGAAGAACAAATTCAAAATAGAAATTGCGTTCCATATTGAAGAGTAAATGAACAATTTCAAAAATTTTATCGAACTGCAATTGATCGAATATAATATTCTATATTTAGCGATTAAACAAACTGTTTTTGGTGGAAGGGCGCGTACTTGTATGTATTTTAATTTTGTTATGCCTGTCAAGGTCCTGTTCATTTCGTTTGTTTCTATGTCAGTGTGACCAAAATAAAATTGAGTAGATGAACAATTTTAAAAATGTTATCAAACTGAAATCTATTGAATATATTATTCAATATATAGCAACTAAAAAAAATTGGATCTGAATTCAAATCTGTGTTTGAAGTAAAATAGTAGATGGACATTTTGAAAAATAAACATGATAGATAGATGATGATTTATTTCCGAATATTTCATTGAAGTACACATTGCAGTAAAAATAAACTAACAAAAAATATAATCAAAGAGGCAGGAAAGACTTCTAGGTCGACCGATCCCTAAGGAAAGTTTCTACCCGGACAAGACACTCTGGCGCTATAAGTTTTATGGGGGGTTAATTAAAAGGCGTCAACAAATCAATTTCTAAAAAAGTACTAAAACAACAACAATGCAAATCATGAAAATTGTCAACAGTAATACAACGTGTGAAGAGATAAAGAATAAGAATGACGAATTAGAATATTCTATACTACTGAATCGAATTTAGAAGACTATCAACAATAATAGTTAGTGATTTTATTAAGTTCGGATTAGCTTAGTAACCTGCGAGAGCATAACACTCGCTTTTCGACAAAGTCCTCTATATGTACCCCGCTTTTTCTAAAGTAAATCTCAAAATTCCCTAAAATATACAGGTGTTTTAATTTGGAATGGTATTTCCCACCTTTTGCGTGACTCCACTTATGCCACCTTTATATTTAAATATAATAATCTCATGCTCTCATCTTACTAATCTCCTACCAGCTCCTTGAGTTGATGTGCTGTTTTCATTGCGTCGTGAATATTGAATGTTTGACTTTTTTCTTTTTTCCAGTTTTGGTTTCTCGCGCCACTTTTCACCCAGAAATGCCAAATTCTTGTCTTTTCTTCCTATTGTTCGCATTAAGTGTATTTTCTTTATGGTGATGAAATAAAAACTGATTACTGATTAAAATTAGTGTTCAAGATAAAAAGAAAAAATAATCCAAAAATGTGAATTACCGAATTAAATCAGAATTCCAGTAGAAAAAATCGAAATGGTGTCAATATAAAAGAGCTTGAATAAGAGAGAAATAGTAACTTATTTTTCAACGACCAGAAGAAAAGGGCATTGCAACAATAATAAAAATAAACACCAACGTACAAACAATAACATGTTTTCAGCATAGACTGAGCGAGCGATACGACCATACACGATCACCAAGGCTAGCTCCCCCCAGGGTAAAAAAAAAAAAAAGATTGTAAAGGATTTCAGGAAAAGAAGTTCTTTTTAGACTTTGAATCCATCGAATTTTTTGAATATAATTTAGAATTCACATATTTATCGTGGGAGAGCGGAAAGGCCACAAGATGGCCGATAAGACGCTCAATCATATGGCGAAGTACGGCCTCTCGTCCGGTTACGGCAGTGGTTCTCAACCTATGGTACGCGTACCAGTAGTGGTACACAGGAGCTTTTTGAGTGGTACGCGAGCAGATTCGAAATATTGCAACAATTAACAACAAACACTACCAGTCCTTTTTAGACATCGCTCTCGCCCGTTTTGCGTGTTGCGGATATTTGTCGGTGGTACAGGGCCAGAGTGGAAAACAGTACAGTGGTACGCGGTAAGTGAAAGGTTGAGAACCCCTGGCCTACGGGATTAGTTATTGGACACGTTAGTGGACACAACGATCGTTTTGCATTTTATGCTGGCACTCTTCTTCTTATTATTTGAATTCTTCTTGGTATCGTTATAAAAACAAGAGAGCTACGCCAACATATATGGACACATCTGTTTACAGTACAGTACGGTTTACCGTACCGTCGATCAGCGTAAGGAAAAAATTGTAGCAAAGTACCGTAAGGACTTCGTTACGAACCATCGACGTTCGATGTCACGTGATTAAAAAGAAGAGGAGTGTCGGCTATGCGTCCGCAGAACGTTCGATGACGTCATAGCAAACAAAAACAAATCTCAAAGAGCTAACAGAATTTGAATATTTGAAATAAATAAAAGTAATAGCTTTCTGGAGAAAAGTTTTATCTTTAACCAGTAAAAATTTCGAAGCAATCGGTTCAGTAATGAAAGAGAAAAGCGGTTTTTCAGATTATCCACTAGATGTCCAAAAAGTGTCAAAGAACAACAACAACAAGACCAACATAATATTGAAACGATCGTTATGTCCACTACGTGTCCAAAAACGCTTTTCTTATTGATTACTGTATAGGGAGACAAGTGTGTCTTAGGGATAAAGACTGTTCACCCTGATATTCAAAGTTCGATTCCCACGTTATTAATTTCACGTGTTATGGAATGTGACTCCAATCTGGATTCCCTCAGACGATAATAAGCACACGATGATGATTGTCGAATTGTTGTATATTATTGAAAAGATGCACGATCCAAATTCCAAATACAGATAAAATTGTATACACTTAATTCCTAATGCAGTAAGATTACGGTCAGATCCAAGTCATAAATCGAGTGAACAAGAAAAGCACAATATTATAGAGCATTCTCGGCAGACCGGAAACGATACGTTATCAAATTGGTCGAAACGAGAAAGGCAATACATGGAGCGAATGCATTATCGCTGTTGCGAAACATAATGCGGCCTAGTTTGTGAAATATTACATGCTATTAATATGAAAGGGTAAAATACATTATAATCCATAGTTACACAATGCACATTCGCTACACAATTCCCCCTCGACAGTAAAAAAAATTAACTTGGTAATTTTTTAAATTTTGTAGTCCGGTCGCCGAGAGATGAAAGTCTAAAAACAAAAAAACACGAATCAATAAAAGGTACGATATGATGAATAATGGCTAAGATATACGAGAGAATATACGTCGTTTACGAGGGCACGAAAATACGAGAGAGAAGAAAAAAATTAAAATACAAGAAAAAAAATTTCAAAGGGTCTCCGTGGTGCTTTGAAATGTTTAACATTTGAAAATAAAATTGTAACGATAGATTGAAACAAAATGGCGACGATGTACCGGAAGGGACACCCTAAAATGTAAAACGGTTCTGATGTTTAATGCAGAGACTGAGAATAGAAAAAAAAAGGCGGTTTCGTTCTAAAGATTGCATTGAAGTTGATTAGATGTTTAAGGTCGAAAAATTGATGTTAGAGGTAACTTGGAAAAAATAATAAGGAAGAAAAATCCTGAAAATTGAATAATGAGTGATTTGAAGAATTATTGAACCATTGAATCCTTGAGATTGAACCTGAATCAAATTCTGTATGAAGTAAAAGAACTCATGATATCTAAAAACAACAATTGATTAGTAACAAGTAAATACACACAAAAGAAATAAGAATACGCAAAATTTTTATTTTGATGGTTTTGTAATATTTATATTTTTATAGTAAGGTGTTTTTATGTTTATGATGGATAATAATAAGAGAAAAGATAATAAAATACAAGACGACTAAATTGATAACATGAAAATAAGTAATAACGAAGCGATCCATTGCGAGTTACACACTATATTCCATTCGCAACGCGCGTCGCAATCGAGTTTACTTAATAGGGTGTGGATAATTCGAAAGGTTTGTTACTGTCAAACTTTTGATTCCATTTGAGCTTGGGTGCTCGCATCTGAGAAGTTGCTAGCACTTTCTATATCTTCCGCGTCAATTTCGACATCGGATATCTGGTGTATTTCTTCTTGTTCGTCGAATTGTACTACGGGTTGTCGTTGAATATTGAGAAGTCGTTGTATCGGCTGGAACAATCCATTTGTTAATGCATTGCGAATTGTAACTCGGCAGTTTGGCAAACTTTGAAAAATGAAATATCCTATGTACAGGAAAGAGAGAATGGGTATGACAAATAATGCGTAAATAAGGCAAAATCCTATGACGTAATTCCATGCTGAGCTCTTAACTCGCAAGAGCCAGGCAAATATGTTGCCATTGACGGCTTTTTGAATACCGTCTTCCAGTGTAGTGATATCAATAGTTTCTGCAGAGGTTCGTCCTCCTTTGTAATCGTCATTCAGTTTGTTGAGTTCCGAAATTGTAACTAAAAGGTCGTCCATGCTTGTAGCGGAAATTTCCTCTTCATTTGCTAAAGGTTGTATACAGTGAGGGGTATACTTCTTTGACATTTTCGTTTCTGGATACTAGTGAATAATTGAAATACTTGTAGTAGCTGCCATTGATTTTGAAAATTTTCGTTTGTCCAAATCGTGGTGATTCAGTCAGTAATATTTGATTGAAAACAACGTTACTGGCGTGGATTTGTCCAAGTTCTGTAGATCTATTAGGCAAGGTATATGTAACAATCGGACGTGTTGCATACAAGTTGTTGACGAAAAGTGTTGGTAAAACTGTAAAATTAGCGGAAACACAATGAAGTTCGACAAGAACATCTCCATGAGCAATTGCATGAACTTCACGTCTTAAAATTGCAGATAGTATTTGAGAGGGGTACAACTGTGCTAGCGGTTTCAATAAATGGGAGATCATTGATTCGACACGACATTCCAATTCGTGTATTCTGTCGTAGAGTTCGGCGAATAATTCAGAGTCGTGATCGGACGATTGTTGTACAATCGAAACGACTTTTGAAAACCAGGTACTGGTGACGTCATGCCATGAAGAGGCAACGCCTTTATGACGTAATCTGACAATGTCTTCGCAGTTGTCATTTACGTTTAAAACCAAGCCATTGTATGTACAATAGACTTTGTTTGATTCAAAGCAAGATTTCGTTCGTTGAGAGCAAGTTTCGAAGCTGTGAAAGCTTTGTCCAACTCTCGGTAGTTCCAATCGATAAGGATTGCCCGACCACACTCCCGTGTTATTGAACACACGTTAACAGAGTGTAACTCCGATCTTGACTCCTTCAGAGGTCAAAAAGCACACAAAGTATTGAATGCCAA